GATGGTGGTTTGATTATTTGAGGAAACCCTCTCTCATTGTTAGGAAAAGTTTAAAGCAGAAGCAAACTTCTTGAGATTCAAGAGAACTTTATTTTCACAAAATATTCGTCAGTAGTGAATCAGGGCATTCGAAGAAACACATTTGGATAGGTCTGATAGTATTTTGTTAACTATCGGTATCTTCTGTGTTCCCATTTCAACTCGTAAAAATGAGAAGATTTCCCTGATTTCTTGTAACCAAAAAGATTTGTTGATTGTGAATAGTTTCGAGATATCAACGTTTAAACCCTGAAAATGGGAATTTAAGTTGATTGATCGAAATCCAAAACGGTATGGAGGTACCTCTGTATTTAATTTCTGAGGCAGCAATCCAATAGCTGCAACATTTGTCGGCGTCTCGTTAGGTGCAGTGCACCTGAAAAAGGAGCTCATGATTCCTCTACTCTGTTTTTATCACGCAAAAAAAACTCTCCAATTTGTGGGAATTCTCTCAAATGGATTTCCCTACTTTAGGAGGGGAACAAATAAGGAATGGGTAATGAATTCATTTCAATTATGAGAACAGTAAAAGACAATTTTTTCAGAAAAGGCACTACGACGGTACCTATGATTTCTTAGCATTTTCAGTGGTCGAAATAGAAAAGTTGAGTGTAGTTTTGCGCGGCATGGACCAATGTACTATGATCAGCCAATCACAGACTTTGTACTGCTACCAGACCTCCTCGCCCCTCATTGGCTGCGTTTGTAGTATGTACTTAGCGGAAGCGCTTTCGTACCACGAATCCAATACCTCACACAGCTGTCATGCTCATATTGTAATTAACCAATGAAAACTGGGCGCAATCGCGAGACACGGGGCATTATTTTGGCATTCGAAAAAACGCAAAACATCTCCTCTCTGTCAAAAATGGGACCAAGCCTTAGTTAGGGGAGGAGAGTACCCAGAGCACGTAAGCAGTTTTCATTTTCCCCAAAGTTCATGCCACCTCCAAGGCGGTTCTAGAGCATGCCCCTGTATCTTGCGATAGCGCCGAAAACTGTTTTTGGTGCCTCTAGGAATGCACGGGAGTGATTGACTTTGTGGTTAACGCGTTGTTTGTCCACGGTGTTTCTAAGAATGGAAGAACATCCTTCATATGACTTTACATCCGATATACCTGTTTACAATCCATTCTAACACTCGTATATTTTCACCAAATCCTGGCCAAATCGGCTTTCCGTCCGGTCCTTCTTGATACCAGTTCACCATGAATATCTTTGGTGCCTGAAAGGACACTTACATTCCAATGGAGGCCAATTTTACCACTTGACGGCATGCGGCTCGGTTGGGCAGTGTATAACATGAAATGCATTGATGAATAGGTACCTATCTTACCTGCTTAACTCTTCCTTTGATACTAAGCCAATGCTTGAAAAAGTCAGCAACAATTGAATGAAAAGTATGTTCTCATGCAAAATGGATTTTGTGAACAAGTGCTTTGGCTGAAAAGATGAGATTGACCTTCAACGATTTTCCAGAAATCCGCAATTATTGAACATGCCTTCCTTGAAGGCAGTCAACACAGTGGCTGTACTACAGAGTGGATTGAGTGCTACTGGTGAAAAGGTTTGATAACTGATCCGGTGAAATTTGTTCGGGGGGGGGAGGCACTCAATATCTACAATCGAAGTGGAGTTGCCGCGAAAGACACTTAACATCTGCATCGAGGAGGTGTGCGGAGGCCCCGACATAATACTTCTATCAAACATAACCATTGATTATCCTTTAACTTGAGACGGTGGGCTACGAACCTCCTACAGTACACTTGTTTGCCCTTGTTGGGCGGAAGTAGCTCCTGCCTGCTGAAACCCTTCACTTCACCAAAATTCATTTGGCGATCGTCATGCATCAGAGCTTGTGCTCTCTCGTCGGGTTGATTAGACGAATAGTGAAAATATTAGGTTGTCTCATAAATAGTGTCGCTTTTTTTCAACCAAAAAATTTTCATCTAAATCCCCATGCTTTTACATCGAGTCATATACCATTCGAAAGAGAATTGTCTGCTCTACAAGATGCTGTGTTCTTCTTCCATCTATGTTCCATGGTTTTCAAATTTTAGGCCTGCGAAATGGGAGGTCCAGCCGACAAAAATTGACCAAACCGACAACTATCTCTAACTTTCTTCCCTTGGGAGAAATCAATCAATGATGTACCCTCTACTTATGCATGACCTCTTCTAAACATTACACTATTAGGTTTCCCAACAAGTCGCGTCATTCCATTTCCAGACCTGGTTTTCAACCAGAACTCGACGGTCAAGCACCATTACCTGAGATCTAGGTCGAAATTTTTTTATAGCCGAGACATTGAAAAACTAGTAGAATTTAAAGAACAAGTCATGACTAAGTTAGGAATGTACGCCTGGTTGATTTTCTCATCTTCTCAGGGATAATTTTTTTCAAAGAAATGCGGTCACTTTCGTGGATAAAGCACCTTACTCCTAAACACCTAAAATTCGAGCTAATTCCAACAAACATAAAACAAAACAAATGAGCGAATAGAGCAGAAGAAGTGCTCACAAAAGATACACCAGTTGATATAAAACAATAGCGTTTCAGAGGAAGAATTTCAATTTGAAAATTGCCATGGCTTATCGGTCGGCCAATTCGAAAAGAAACAGGGCAAAGCTTTTTCGGCAACCTAGAAAAAGAATAATGTAAAAAAAAGAAATTAAACGAGAGGGTGGAATGTTCAGAAGAGGTCATGAGTAAGTAGAGGGTACAGTATTGATTGATTTCCTCCTCAAGGGAAGATAAAGTTAGAGATAGTTGTCGGTTTGGTCAATTTTTGTCGGCTGGACCTCCCATTTCGCAGGCCTAAAATTTGAAAACCATGAACATAGATGGAAGAAGAACACAACGTCTTGTAGAGCAGACAATTCTCTTTCGAATGGTATATGACTCGATGTAAAAGCATGGGGATTTAGATGAAAATTTTTTGGTTGAAAAAAAGCGACACTATTTATGAGACAACCTAATAGATCGTGGGGGCCAACATTGTACTCTATAATTTAAAGCCTTAAGGATATGTTAGCGCTCCCACAATAACGTTATCGACTCATTTTGAACATGCGTCTGATAAGTATCGGGTTCGGTGTAATGTGGAAAGACCCTGGGATGCTTTCACATCTTCGCCTGTCATGGCCCAAAGAAGCGGTCCTGGACCAGGGAATGGACATTTTCCCCTAGCCTAAGGGTGAGAGAGTTGCAGGGTGGATGACCAGATGCAAACAATTGGATGGGATGTGGGCAGGAGCGTGGAATATAGACATTCACCGACCCTATTCAAAAGTACACCGCAAATGAGCCGTTACGTATTATCTTATCCTTTGTTGAGAATCCGGAGAAGTGCCCTTCTGGTGCTAAGGATAAGATAACAAAGAGTGGCCCCCTCGACTACATGCACCGATCATGAATTACCCTTCTGCAGCTCCACGTTCGTTGATATTGCCACGATTAATTAGATTTTATGAAGCACCCCCGAACTATGGCGGATCCATCATGATCCCAAACCCTGGCTTCTTCGCCTTACTATTAGAACCAGTTCGCGAGGACGCATCACCCTCCTTAGGATCCGAGAACCATTGTGCGAGTCGAGTGCAGATTAAATACCGAAATGGGACGACGCTTTAAGTTACATTTGGATAGCTAGACGTAAGCAAACCAGCCCTTTTGGCACATCGGCTGGGACCGTATGCTGAATGTTGGGGAGGGGATGGGGTCCCCAACGGTCGACGGTTTACTTCAACTCGGTTGGTACGATAGGAGAGTACTGACGCAAGTGGTGCAGCTGGTCCAGTAGCTTCGCCAGAAGGACCGGTCTGCTCACCCTTGGACTAAGCCTAGGAGAGAGGGGACGGACCCGTCCTCTCTTTAAGGCTTAGTTCTAAGGTAAGCGCCAAATTGTGGCGGTTCTAAGGACCGAGTTGAAGTGTCCGTCCACCGTCGGGGACACCATCCCCTCCCCAACATTCAGCATACGGTCCCAGCCGAAGCGCCAAAAGGGCTGGTTTGCTTACGTCCTAGTGGTTCATAGTGATAGCTGATTTGGTAAATGATAGTTGTAATTAGTGACAACTGATAGAATACAACTGCAACAGGCTAATCATTTCATTGGCAGAAAACATTTACATTTTGTGGAGGCCGTCGTCACTTGTGTGTGTGGTCTGCACTCGACAAGCACCTGATTTCCGGAAACAGTATACTTTTGCTTACTTGGCTTGTCAAGAGCGCTGTGAGAAATTGTTCGAAGTCCTGCAGCCATCACAACTCCGTGCTCCCACGATTCAGCCTCATAAACAAGAGGCATTTCGTCACCTCGCTGGCATCCGAATACTATGCTGGAAAGGTCATCGTTAGGCAATTAGCAAGCACTTGAAAGCGCATCCCTTGTGATCAGAACAATTCTCCCTATAGGTAAGGTAGACCTGTTACCAAGCTTACGCTAGGTAAAGTCATGCCTCAGGATCAAACGGGTATGGTTCTTGCGAATATGAATGTATTGATGCGGAATGGGCCGGCAGTAAAGAAAAAAGGAAAAGAATCCGTCGAAAACGCTAGGTTAAGGGCTCACTCACCTTCCTAATCGGCTGTGCTAAGGGAATGAGAGACTAAGGAGAGGAGAGTATGAGGCGAGAGAGCGCTACAGATGAGAGATGGCCAGACAACAGCCTGATAAAAGAAGAAAAAATTGCAGCTACCGCTTTTCTTTTTGGGAGGGCGACCTTTCCGCTCTTGTCGAGTGATTCCCGTGCACGGAATTGCTACTTCTCCGAATTTCCGATTGTTCACTAAGGGTCTCTCCTACAGACCGAAGAGAATCGTTCACACAACTTCCGCCTGACTTATGCCTTTCAAAATAGCAGAGTGGAGCAAAAAAAATTCGCCCCGGCGAGACTCGAACATGCATCCTTCGCTAATAGTTGTATTACTGGAGCACCATCAAATTAAAAGCCAAACCCTAAAAAACGGTCCGAAACCCGATAAACAAAACCCCTTTTTGCAGGATGATAATAAAGAGGTCCTATGATGGACGCAGTCATCGACGCGAAGGCAGTGTTCTGCTCTCATATGCTGGAGCAGCCTATCTAGGTGTGAGCAGATGCACGAAAGGTTCAG